GGGGGGGGGGGGGGGGGGGGGTACAGCGATAAGGATCATCCATCATCCGTCGCTTCCACCTACTGAGTATGATTCAAGGGTTGCAAGTTGCGACCTACCACGTCTGGAAGCACTGTGCGTGGTGGCTAAACGAATGAAGTGGTTTATTGGATGGACGTGTAAGGACAGGCTCGGCCGATGCAACTCCGGCGGCGATTCAACCTCTGGTGGCTTGCCATACCGTTAATGACACAAGATAACACACCCCCTTGACCGATTTTTGAAGCTCGATTTCTCAACTGCCGGAACAGTCACAGCGCCGAAAACGGCGGCGTTGAAACCGTCTCGTTGAGAGCTTTTCGAAAATGTATCGTTTTTTTTATGCATCCTCTTCGTGGAGTAATCGAGCTTTGAAAATCGGTCCAGGGGCGTGCTATCTTGTGTCATATTTGGTATACCCCCGGGCTCGCTCACAACATGAAGACAGGTAGTCTCCGTCAGCGCCCGAAGACGGCGTGATTGTTACCTTAGTGTAGTACAGCAATGTACCTCGGCACAACAACATCGATCGCCACTCTAGGTCCAGGCCTCTACGCAGTGGCATCCCCAGTAGGGCTCGCTCACAAACAAGTAAATCCGTCTGTCTATTATTGTAGATGGACGCGACCAACCATGTTTGCTGGCTGCGGCTTGATCTGAAAAAAAAATCGATTCATTGTGGTACCGGGAGGGAATCGAATCGCGTTGTCAATCGAAGGCAAAGCACGGCATCAGGGGTGGGTAGCGGAGGAGCCCTTCGATGTGACCACGGATTGGAACTCCTACCCTGCAGAAATATGTTTGCGCTGATATAGAAAAAACAAAGGGGCGTCAGCGTTGCCTACCGGACAGGCAGCAGCAGGGTGTCTCTCTGCAGGTAGCGGAACAGCAAGAGGCGAGAGCTGTCCAACTCGATGGAACAACATTTGCTTTCGTAAGACAAGCTTGCCCCGTTCGTTTCAGAAGCAGGCAACCTGCAACACCTTCGGTTGGTATGACTTGCTACATAATAATCATGTCGGGAAATCGATCGGTACGAGGTGTTAGGGATGGATGCAAACCAAACATGTTTTGCCACCGTAAAGCAGTTTGTACATGAGAGAACCAGAAACAGACGTAGCGCACCATGGCACATTCACCAAGTTCATGTTGCAGGGGTCTCTTTCCGCTGAAACGGTGGTATTGGATTGGATTTGGCTTGATCTTTGGACCGCAGATCGACCAGCAAGCGATCAACCAAACAATCCGTTTCTTTTTCTCGTCTTCCTTCTTAGAAACCAGCGAACTTCCTTACGGGCAATCATTCAACCGGTTGTCTTCCTTGTTTTTTTACGATTTTCGTTTTTAAATTTTAAGACTTTTCTTACCTTCCTCAGCGAATTTCTTGGGCAACAGAAAAAGAACGAACTGATCGCGAATCTCTTGAGCCACAAACAAATCGAACTGATCGTTCGAATTCAAATATTGTATTTCACTTCGTACTATTTCTTAGGCAATCAAAAACAATTGTGCCCAAAGTGACTCAACTCTTTGCTATTCTATTTTCTAGTTATTTTTTGGGCCACAGGTCGAGCAGCTTCCTGAGAAGCACGACTACTTCCTTGGCATCGGCATCCATGCTCGCTTCCATGTTCGGGTCGTTGACTAGCGTGTCGATGTCCAGGCCGGCGTCCTAAAACAAACAATAAAAGAACGGACAAGACACATAGTTACTAACAATATTGTGGCCGGATAAACCACACGCCTTGTCGCTCCCTTGTTCGCTGGTTGCAAGGCTTTGAAAGTCAACCAAAGGGAGCGTGCGATTACTGTCTTTCACGGTACGGCATGAACGGTGTTTCGTAATGTCAGGAGTCTCCCGACCGGCAATGCCTGGCAATGCTGCACAGAACCGTATTCACGGCACAAGATGGCGGCGGGGTAGAAATCATCATAGGTGTAGCCCATTTCGAATGTGCGGCATCTTGTTGTCCTTGCGGGACGGGAAGGGAACATCGGGCACAAACGATTCACATGGGATATCGCAATCGACACAACATAACACCCCCCCCTAACACAACAAATATCATGCTCGGTGGGAATGTTGTCATGGGGTCAGCATGAGCCCAAAACTTACCTAATACATAGGGCGGCGTAAGGCCACTTGCTACGCTGTCTCTTTTTGGGCTGTCCGTTTTCTCAAAAAGGGACAACTGACCAAAAACCACTTGTTACGTGGTCTTTTTTTGCGTTTTTGAACCTCCCGAAAAGGGACAGCGAAAAAAGATCACCCCATCCTGTCCCTTTTTGGGCAACTTTGTCCCTTTTTGAGAAAAGGGACAGCCCAAAAAGTGACAGCGTAACAAGTGGCCTAACACCCCACATCCCCCACAAGGAATAATCCCACAATGTTCGTACACTGGGAAGAGTATTCTCGAGTGGTAAAACGGTATCTGTACTATAGCGATTGGTTCGACTGGAAATAAACTCTCTTCGAGGAGGTTGCCCACGGCTTTGGTGACGTCCACAAAACATTTTCCGGCCAGCAATATCAGGGGGCGCGGTGGATGGGAGAAAGGCCGTGGGTGTGTGCGACGGTACCCAATCAAGTCGTGCTTGGTAGGAGTGCATACACACGAGCGCCAAAACACTTCCCCTGATGCTCACCTCTTGGCATACACGACACCCCCGACGCACTGAATGCAAGTGGGGACGGATGTGAATGAATGGTCCCACAGACTCACCGTGTACATTTTTCTGAGAGCGTCGACCTCCTCTTTCGGGCAATCGCCAGACTCCACCATCTATACAAAAGAAGGGACACCGCAAGACGCGCGCGGGTAGGGGGGGGGTGTACTCATAGTCGTGCATGCCGTAGTCGTTAGACCATTGACCTCGCATCCCTACAAAGCCGGGACGGAGCACGCCGGTTTCTCACCGGACCAGGCGCGCGCGGGTGGGGGGGGAGGGGCTTGCCAAAGAGCCCCATGTAACCAACATTACAGCATCAGCACCAAGGTAACAACTACAACCACGATAGCAGCGATATCAACATCATCAGCAACAATAACAACAACAGAGACGAGGACAACGCGGCTACGACAAGGACATGTCAACCAAACGGAGGGGAAGAAGGTGTCAGCGCAACAGTCAAGCGAGCATCTGAGGAAATGCTGAACAAAAAAAACAGACGAAAAAAAACCGGCAAACGACAATGTTGAGCACACACGACAACGAGACACAACCAATTCGAGAAGAGCGTCGTGATATCACCAGTAGCGTCACGACATCAAGACACAAAGGAAAGGCGAAATGAAAATAACGGAATGCCGTATGCATACATGTTACAAAACGGCCGTGTGTAGGCTAGCTGGCTTCCATCCAAGTGCAAGCCACAAATCACGCGGAGGCGGGGGGGGGGGGGGGGGGGGGGGGGGGGGGGGG